CAGTCTCACTAGATCTTTTTTTTTTCCCACAAATTAACTTTTATTGAAAAAGATTACCCATGACTTCATCTGACAAAGTCCCAAGGACATAAATGTAAAATCTAAAACTATAAAACTTCTACAAGAGAAAACTTTAGTGAATCTGGACAAAGATTTCTCAGCTATGACCAAAAAAAAAAAAAAAAAAAAAAAAACCACGATCCTCTTAGGACTGGTTAGATAAAATGTGGCTCAGGGCAAAGGGCCCATTGTTCAAAACAGAGAACTTGAAGATGGCAGCAGCCTAGCAGCCTAGCAGACTTGAGAGTGGACCCCCTGAGTACTGGCCCCTGCAGGGCCCCACCAGCCACACTCCAGAGGAGGCCAGCGAACCCTCCACCGAGGCTCCTGAAGCGCACAGCCCTCTGCCTCCCACCCGAGGATGCCGCACTGAGTACCTTGCCTTTCCACTTCTGCGTTTTCCCAGGGGGACAATTATGCACTTAGAAGTGCCAGCCATCCTTTAAAAAGCATATCAAATCCCAGTGCACCTCTGCTCCAAACGTGCGAGTGACTTTCCGTTACTCTGGGAATATAATCCTAAAATGACTGAGCCCGCGACCTGCCCCAATCTGACCCTTGACTTTCAGATCCCCTCAGTGACCAGGCTCCACTTCCCCTGCTTGCCCCAACCCGGGCCTCCTTGTTCCTGTGTAAACTGGACAGCGCCCTCCTGCTCTGGGCCTACTGACCTTGCTAGCTCATTCTTTAGCACAGACCTCAGTTGCCCCACTTCTTGGCAAAATATTCCCCATCTCTCTCCCTCTCCCTCTCTTCCTCCCTCCCTCTCTCCCCCCCCCCCCCCCCCCCCCCCCCCCCCGCCACCTCCTCAGATTTCAGTTTGACTCTCATATCCAGAAGGAGACCTTCCCTGGCTACTTTCTCTAAAATTGCTGTCCCTGGAATCTCCACTTACAATCCAAGTCTCTGATGAGTCCCCTTCCCTGAATAACTTGTTTTGCAGAGCACCTATCTGGAATTCTCTTGCACACTACTTTGTCTGATAGCCATTCTCTCTGTGGACATATCACCTTCACAAAAGCCAGGGCTGAACCTGCTTCTTCTCTGCCTTCGTGGTGCATAGGATGGCACCCAGCAACTGCACGTGCACATGTGCATGCGTGCACCCCCTCCCCTTTATCTTTGCTATTTGCTGTAAAATCCTCCCTGCTCTTTCTCTCGTCCATAAGGAAATTAACACTAGATTGAGCCATATGAAATTGTGAAATTGCCAATCTTTGATCATTTTGGTACCGGTTCAAATTACCAATATTGTGTAAAAACAAAACAGCAATAAAATCACGTGAGTGTGCCAATGACAACTGATTAAGATAACAAAGGCATTTGATAGCGGAGGTCAAACATCACGATGAGAATATTATCACATAGAAATAAAACCTGGCGCTCCACTGTAATGTGTCCACCTTTCTGTGAAAGTCTAAACTACAGAGAGTGATCCGATGCCTGTTCCCTGGGCGATAAGAAGAAATGAATGGATTTTACAGCGACAGTTGTTAATCCATTACCCAGCAACCACAGCATCGGAGACCAATCCCCATTTTCAAAAACCTGTGTTCTCTCTTGAAGTCTTATTTAAGTAATATCTGTGCCATCTGTGAATGAAGCCAAACCAGAGACATGCATAAAAATCATAACGGCTCTCACGGACAGTAGCTTTCTCTGCTAATCCAGGGAAAGGATTTTTTTTTTCATTTTTCTTTCTACTATACCAGCTATTATTATATGTAAGAACTATCCAAAACTAATGCCTTTTTCCCCCTTATCAACTGAAATGTGTAATCCCATGGTGTTAGCATATTATACTTAATTGCAATGGTTATCGGCAGCATAAATCTTACATTAGTAGGATAGCTTCAGTGTATCTGTTTGTACTCCCAACCGTTCACACTGCTATTGGCATAATACTGAATAGTCTTTATATTTCAATATTTGCAGCTTCTTTTACCTTTTACCCAGAAGCTTTGCCAGTATATTAAATCTATTGAAGTCTAAAGCTCGTCTGATTGGAGACTAGATGGAGATGATGTCAATATTACTGGTGGACAGATTGAGCATAAGACTAGTATTTTCTTTCCTTGTTCCTTTTTAAATTTTATCTCATCAACCAATATAACCGGTAGACATATGCCTTCTTGGACCATACCCCAAACCTGATATTTATGCTTTTGAAAAAATATGGCCATGACCAAGTTTGCCCTTCTGATAACTCAGTTTAAACATGATCATCAAACATCGCTGCTTCTTCAATACTACACGTTTCCTTCTGGCTAAGAAGATGTGCAAATGCTCTTGTTTCTCATTAGTTAGGACCCTGGGTGAACAAAAACTTAAATGAAGAGAAGGAATTCAAATAAAAGAAGAGGGACATTCTTGTCTATGAAACAGACAAGATATTCATTAAATATATTTAATAAATACCTGAAATTTCATCTTGTAGAAGTCTTTTTACCAACTAAAAAAATCAAAATAAGTAGATTGATTAAAAAAAATCTCTAGAAAGTCAGTGACAAAATATTACAAAGGAATTGCCTTATACTTTATTTTAAAATTAATTTTAAGTTGTAATGTTTTAGAGTAAGTCTGTTTGTATTTTTTTTTCAAGACAGGATCTTGCTAAGTTGCTTGGGGCTTCACTAAATTGCTGTGGCTGGTCTCAAACTTGTGATTCTCGTACCTCAGCCTCCTATATTGCTGAGATTGCAGGTGTGAGCCAGCATGCTGGCAGTTTTTATTTTTATAAAACATTTTTCTAAGGTAACTTACATAGAACATGAATATGTGTATTAGCATAAAGAGAGAGAGATGCAAATTATAATAGCATTGTCCCCCAAACCAGCATCCCAATAGTAAGAGACAAATAAGATGATTATTTCTGTTGGGGGAGGAAACAACGCAGACGTTTATTGCATTTGTTTGACTAAACTTGCAATTGTGGGCCCTTGGGAAGAGGGTAGACATCCTAACTCACAAATTTATTCCCTTTTCTTTTCAAACTACTTAGGTTTTACTGGATAATGATGTTCACAAAACAGGATGGTTAATTAAAATAGATATTTATAGAAGTGGTTATTAAAGAAGGAAGGATAGCAAAATTAAGTGCTTGTTGATGAAATTAATAGATCTAAAGGTGTATTCTACTTCGTATTTTTGAGGTGATTCTTAGATGAAACGAGGACATTCACCTGAGCCTCATACCTATTGCTGGACACCTCCTCAGATGTCTGAATCTGGCAGATGCTTCTGTAAACCCTGGCTCCCTTAGCTGGCTCACGTGCCGATGTTGAATTCACTCGAAGACTTGTCAAAGCTGGCTGCATATTAAGGCATCTGAAAGGCACCTGAGTGAAAAGGGTGTTGAGGTCCTACTCAGAGCTGCTGGTTCAAATGCTCTGAGGGGTGAAGCCAGTAATTGACATTCTTTGATGTACATGTCATTTGAACAAGATGCATCCAGAAGAACAAAGCTAGTATCCATGTGCAGCTCAAAAAATCATCACAACTACCACACACCTAGGGTCACCAGGGACATTAATAGAACACCACCAGCACCCTGAATGTGCCCTATTCCACGTCAGAATTAGCACTTTGGGGAAGTTCTTCAGCACAATCTAATGTGTGGCCAGCAACAAGGGCCACAACACCAAATTCCAGTTGTCTTAGATGCCAATTTCTCTATTTGGATGGCATTGTAAAGAATGGTAAGTGAATAAATTATTAAATATGCCCTCTATGTTTATGGTAATACAAGGATTATTACATCTTTATATTGACACTTTAGAATAGTTAGCACTGAGTTCCCTGGTTAAATCAAGAAACCAAAGCTAACAGAGAAGGGGGAATTTGTGTAAAGGGTACCAGAGAACACTGAAAAGCAAACCCTGGTCAGCTTTGTGGCTAGAAGGTCCACCAGGTCCACCACTTCCTAAACATGCAACCGGTAGTCAGATGCTTTGGTAATCTTATCTATAAAATGTAAGTCACAGAGTCGGCTAGCTCACCTCGTAGCTATAATAGTTACAGGCAAGTGACCCTACATAGTAAGTGCCATACTTGTTAACTGGGCTAATGCTGGCCTCCTGTCTGGTTCAAGACTCTTCTTCCCCACCATTCCAAAATGCTTGTGAAATCCCAAAAGCAAAGAATACAAACCTTTGCCAGATTCTTAATGTGATGACTATTTGACCTGATTTCTACAAGGACAGTTAGAATGTTGAGTCATTTGAATGGAAGTCAGAGAGGAAGGTGATCACAGCATACACACTAGCACGTCCTGGATCCTGAACACACTACACACTTAAACTACCCCTCATCAGGCTAAAAATTAGACCCGCAACTTAATATTGGAAGGATTTTCTCTGAGAAGGGTTCAGATAGTAATGAAAAACACATTAAAGCATCAATTGGAAATGGAACCAACATGCTGTTTTATAATAATCTCATCTTATGCCTTGTTCCTTTTATGGAATGCAGATAGATATAAAGACAGAGTTACATACACACACACAGACACACAATGTTCATATCTTTATAGACAATGAGGGAACTGGGCTAATTAAAACACATCATGGGGATTTCCCCTCCTTGTCTCCAGAGACTGAAGCTTCCCATCCACAGGGCAGGTAAAAAGTCAAGCAATACTCCAGGTAAGGAAACATCACAACGTCACTGCTGTCCTTTCAAGTTGGCTTGTAAAAGCTGCATCCTGCGCCCTGTGTAAGTCTGAGCCAGATATCTTTGCCTCACTAAATGACCACGTCAGGGGCTTTCCACTGCCGTCCTGGGACCTGCCCTGTGAACACACAACTTCCTAGTTGGACCCTTGACCTCACTTGACCTTGCTGGCTTCTAATCATGTAATTCTTATGGGGGAGAAAATGAAGAAGAGGAGGAGAAGAGAAAGAGGCAAGAGCAACCGATGACGTTGTTTGACAGGAACTTACCTTAAGGCTTGGTGGTGTTGAGAGGCAGAGATGAACAGCTTCCTTATAATTATTCTTCCAGGTGGAGCAGTCCCGTGGGCTAGGAATTCCATCATTAAGACAATGTACTGTCAGAAAAAGCTGTGACTGATCATCAAAAGAGCTGTTCTACACTTGATGGTGACACTCATCAAGTCCTTTGACCTTTGCCTCCTTCCTCTATAAAATCTTTCTCTTATCACAATTTCTCAACATGATTTGACTTTGGAAGGACAAAAACTGAGGATGGCCACAGGGCTTTGTTGTTATGATGAATGTTCCAAGCTTTAGGTGTGTATGTCTACATTAAAAAAGGGATTTCCTAGATCAGCCAGTTACAGAGTAGTTAAATAGCTACAAACTCCACTAATATTGTAGCGTCCGTCTGTCTTACAGGCAGTGACAGCCACTTACAAAGAACTTGTAGCAGGTACCAATGCTTTTCTGCTCCCCCTGAATTTATTCAATTTTTCCTCCTTAAATTTTTATTATTCTGCTCTAGCAGATAATAAAAAAATTGCTTTAATTTCAAATACATATTCTTAGAAAAATTTGCTTTAATTTCAAATATATATTCTTGAATAATATATATTTTAAGTAATATTTATTATCAGCTATAGGGTCCAATAGAGAGCAATTGATAAAATTTTATTGAGTAGGAGTTTACAAGACGAATAAAATCTTCCTGTTTAAACTATTCTCTCAGATTTTCAGAACAGAAGCAAAGTGTACTAAGCCTTTAACAAGTCCTCTGTAAAAGTGCAGGTAATTTTATCTGATCACTTTGCAAGAGGAGGTGATGACGGTGAGGAGGAGAATCCCAATGGACAATACACAAATCATGTGGGAAGTACCAAGTGGCTCTCAAGTGGAAGGTGCGCCTGCTGCCACTGAAGAGGTGCAGCTCTATTCCATACAGACATGTGTCCCAGAGGAAGGTTTTATCTTAGGAATACAGTTTGCAATCATTTTGGTGAACTTAACCCATTACAGTAGCACTGTCAGGTGTACCTGGGACAGTTGAGAACTCAGTCTTGCTTTGCTTTGGCCCATGTCAGTACTAGTGAATAAAGGCGGGGTTGATGGAGAGTCATGGGAACACCAGACCACCAGAGTCTTAGCACTCAGAACCTGACGTCCACCACACAACTCGGTTCCCTAAAGTCAATTACATAATTAGTCTAAGCAGGCTTTCATAACTGAGGCCCTCTTTGCATCCCGGGTGGGGCAATCTGTGGTGGGGACTCTGCTTGTATTGCAGGACATTCAGCACCCTGCCACCAAATGACAAAGCACCCACTCACCTCCAACAATCAAAAATGCTTCTCCAGACATTCCCAAATGTCCTCTTGGGAGAGGAGAATTACTCCTAGTTGAGAATAACTTCCAGTGTTTCATTCCTCTTTGATAACTTTATGATGAAATTTATATGACCAAATAACTTTCTAAAATACTCATATTTTAATATTAGCCTATTAAAATTCAGAACATTTCTTATTGCAAGGAAACCAATTTACTCTTGCTTAATTTGATATTTCCCAACTATTTTCAGTTACAGAATCACCTGTCTCTTACTGGTAGCTATTTTAAATTCCTGCACTGTTACAAAATGTACCAGAAAGTCCTGATAAAAAATGTGTGATTACACAAAGGCTTGATTCACTCATAAGAAACATTTAAAGCCTTTATAGTTCATTTAAAATGATATATTTCTGTACTTTTAAGTTAAAAATATCAATTAATGTTAATAGACACAACATTAGCTAAAACAAACTAAAAGATTTTTAGCTCATAATACTTTATAAAATGATTTGGCAGGTAGTCATCATTTTCTGAGACACAGATATTTGTTATGATTTAAATATTATGTGTCCCTCAAAAGCTCTCGTGTGAGATGATACAAGAAGTTCAGAGGTGAAATGACTGGGTTATGAAAGTCTTAACCTAATCAGTGCAGTAATCCCCTCATAAGGATGAACTTGGTAACTGTGGGCAGCAAGCGCGTGGCTGGAGAAGGTGGCTCCCTCCGGCCGGTCCTTGGGGTTTATATGTTTTCATTAAGTGGAGCACACTATGCTTGCTGATTTCCATGTCCTGAGCCACTTTCCTCATCACACTCTTCCGTGGAAGAATGGCGTCAGCCATCTAAGGACTGAGACCTCAGAACCTGTGAGCTCTAAATAAACATTTCCTCTTCTAATTGTTCTTGTCAGGGTTTTTGGTCAGGGGGCAAAAAAAAAAAGCAGACTAAAACAGTATTGGTATTATTTTTGTTTTATGAGTAAAAGGTAACTCCAGGTCACATACAACCACAAGAATGGGAAGTTATACTCCATGTGTGTATATCGAAATATATTCTACTGACATGTGTAACTAAAAAGAACAGATAGAAAGTTAAAAATAAGAAAGAAAGAAATAGTCTCAGGATGGCCAAGTGGTTTGTCTCAGATTTTAAAACATTAGGATGGGAAGGGGAAATCCAGACTACTTTCTCAGAGGGCACCCTTGGGTGGCTTCTGCACATTATATAAGCAGCCACATCTGGAACTAGCCCTGTAATTAGGATAGGACCACTCTCTTATTTCCCATTCCTAAGGCTATAGTCTTCTTTGGCTCAGCTTAAACCCATCCTGTGTTCACAATGATTGGCTCAGGGACAGGCACCTCATCCAGGTCTAAATTGCTCTATGCATGATATTTGGGTGACTATTTTAGGAAACTGCACATGAACTGAGTTGTTCCACTCACATGAAGGCCTAGGACTTCAGTGTGGTTGTTTTGGGAAGGAGAACCCTTTGCTCAGGTCAAGCAAATGAGTGCATGAACAGAGGGTCAGGGGAGCAGATAAGAGGGCTTTGATGGCTGCAACCTTTTTGCTGCTATACAGCAAACTCACCTGCATGGAGGCCAACACAGAGGAAGACAGAAGGAGAGAATTATAGAGGTAGAGGCACAGATTCTCAGTCCAGCTGCCCAGAGTTACCACTTGACATTTGACATTTTCAGCCATTCCACAGTTCCTTTACTGCCTCGCCCATTTTGTGTGTAGTTTTCTGTCAATTGCAATAGAAACCATTCTTAGTAACATAAATGACACGGAAATAAAATCAGTGCCATATCATTTCACAAGTTAGCCATTACAAAGGAGAACGTGATATTTGATTTAAGACTATTTTATAAATGTTGACCTACCATCTATTCAAATCAAACCTCCTACCTTACATATGCTGAGCTTGATCACTGTTAATCCAAAAGCCAAGACAGACTGAAAGAAAAACTTCAGGTGATGTGGTTTACAGTAACTCTAGAGGAATGCTACACACCACCAGCCAACTGCCATATGTAAAAACAAAACAAAACAAAAAAAATATTTGGAGAGAATAATACCCATGTCGCTTCCTGAAAGAAGAAAATCAAAGTGAACAAAGAATTTAGTGTAATGGTATTTTGGACATCTGAAACACTAAGACAAATAAGATATCCTTTTCGTATTTTTTTTTAAGAAACAGATGAATGATTCTGTTTAATTATTTAATTTACTGTGGAGAAGTTGGAATCAAGGAAATGATTAAAATCAATCCAAATATTTTTCCAGCTTCTCCATAAATAGATTCTCTTTCAATTCCATTTCTAAGGTCTGTTTCTTGAGACATATTTTTTTTTTCATTATTCCTGCAGCTAATCATTATTCTAATTTGGCTAGCTTTCATTCTTTGAAGTCCAGGCAAGCTCATAGCAAGCACTAAATAACAAAGAATATTTCTTCAAAGACTGTCACATGCCAGTATCACTCTAAGAAATGCCCACGGTGTCACTGAGAGAATCCCAGAGTGAGTTACTAAGCCTTGCATTGGAGGAGCAATGAAAATAATAGCTACCAGAAGCTCCTACAGAAGACAGTAAAAGTGGGTTCTGAATGATTCTGATGGCACCTTGATTTTCCGAGGCAGTCGCTTTTGATTTACAAGGAAACAATAAAAACTCAAATAAATGGACCAAAGGTCTATGGACAAGGCCATTTTGAAATGGAGTTTCAGAGAGACAGGTGTCCCTACATGCATGGTATTTTCAGAGACCTCCACAGCTGGCGGGTTGGGGGTTAGTTCTGAAGACCCTGCTGTGGCAACAATGTGGAGCACTCTCCATCTGCTCGCTTGTCTTGAATAAAATAAAATAAAATAAAATAAAAGCTCTTACCTTTTGCTTTAAATTTTTCTTCCGTCTAATTGCTCTGCTAACTTGTGGTCTCTGCTAGCTCATACCTTTGACCATGCCCGTCATTGTCTACCCTTGCTAATTTAACTTTTGTTCCTGTTTCTAAAGGACTCACTCCCTCGGAATGTCCTACTCCCACATCTCAAGAGGCACTCACTTAAGGAGCTCCTCCTCTGTGAACAGGGCCCCTCCCTCTTCCCTCACCGCTTTGTGATTGGCTGCCTTTGAGTCTGGTGGTCTACTTCTTTTCCAGGTAGGGATGGCTAAGGATGTAAAATCTGTGCAGTGAGATTTTTACAAAGCAATATATCCTGGAAAAATATTTATAGATGGCGATCAAGATCTGCAACATGTCTTATGTAGTTAGCTCTCTTACTAATCAGTAGTGCAAACTGCCTACTTTCTGTCCACACAATTTCAAATGTGTCCCCCTCTGACAAGCTCCATCCATTGCGTGTATTCTGAATGTGCTGAAACCGTACAGCTATGACGCTCTTTGTCTTGTGGTAACTCCATCTAGACAATGTCAAAGTCCATTTCAATACTGCTTGATTATTCTGAAATCTCCTGGGTATAAATCACTACTCTAGGACTGAAGTTAAAATGTTGGATGATGATTCCAATATTTCATATGTGGGTAATTGTCTTAATGCCTTTATTCCTAAGTCTTCAAGTCTATAAAATGGCATGCTCCTCATCTCGATGCTGAGATTTGGGGAAGATTGAGTCTACTAATTTAAAGTGCTTAGTCCTGAGTATTTATAGGTTGAAAGGAATGATTCCTTTCTTTTCCAGGCTACGAATCATGGTCAACTCTCCCAGAACAGGAGACAGGTTAACAGAAAAAAAAAAATCAAAACATGTTTATTAAATCGTGGTTTTACATGGTATGGAGACTTTAAAATGAAGACTCAAAGATACCGAGAAATCCACCTGATTTTTCAAAGCTCAAGTCCTATGAAGCACTGACAGTGATGTCAAAATGTGGTTGGACCAGGACATATGTGATTGTCCTAAGATAACTGAGTGGCAACCCAGCAAGGCCGTTCCCTGGGATTCTTCTGACTTCTCTGTGCTGGTATTTCTTTATTTTCTTCCACTTGTGGGGCAGAACCCCTTTAGCTGTGGGGATCCTATGATTTCCGTTAAACAAGGTAGCTCTTCCACAGAAAGGCAAGGGAGGCAAGAGTAACAAGTTCTCTGTTTAGGGCTGGCTTTGGGGAAGAGGAATTCTAGTTTCCATGTCTTGCTTAAGTGGCAGGGTGGGCAAGATACCAGAGGGCTGGAGGAGGCCGAGAGAAAGCTGGCTTTAGGGGCTGCTTCTAGGCCTTCCAATCTTCTTGAGTTTAAAAGAACTCACTGTGTCAAAGTACCACACTTTGGGGATTATGCAGTTGGTACATGAAATATTAGCTACTGTTTCATATGGAACCTTGGAAGACATTGATATTTGTTACCTCTCTGTAACCTCTAAGTTATGCAGCCCAACACCAAGCAACAGCTGCTGGACAGTGGTAGGAAAACACCTAGAACTGTCATAACAGCTACCTTACAAAAGGAAGAAAATGGAAGGAGCTCCGCTTCTCAATATCTGAGGTGCGCATTATTCATTTGTTCTGGTCCTGAACATTTTCGTTTTCTAGAATAGTTCACTAACCTTGAAACAAGTGTTTCCACAGCAGATTGTTTGTGGATAGTGGGGTATTGAACAGGATGAGGACTCCAAAGGTCTTGGCTTGCTGCATGAATTCTTTTCTAGTGAGGAGACTCCTGATACTCCCAAAGGCTTCAAAATTAGGTTGTGTATGTGAATGTGTGGTATGTGTGTGGTGGTGGGCAGGGGGTGAGGGGGTTGTGTCCATACTCAACTGAAGATACAATATGGCAGCATTAAATGGTTACAGCTTACTGTGTCCATACAGTAAGGCCCTGTTGCTCTGCTCTACATGACGTGAGCTCCCATGACCACACTTCTTGTTAAGTAGAGCAAGGCTGAAGAATGTGTGCTGCTAGATCTCCTGTGGATGCCACAGCCATCACTGGAAGGCCAGCCTGACCACAGAAATCTTCCCTGCTGCGTGGAGCAAATCAGAAATGCAAATGAAACAGCTCATTGGCATCTTTACTTTATCCCAGCTGATGATACATTTTGCCAGGACTCAGAGAAGTTCCAAGGTTGCATCTGTGACAACATAAGGTTGTCACCCACCTTATGTTTTCACAAAGCACTGAGAGGACATGTAGGACACAGTTGGCTTTGTCATCATTTTGCCCACCAGCCACAAAAAAAAGGTTCCTTTGTTTTCATTCAGATTCTGTATCTTTGGAATCTCCTTCACTGAGAAGTTTTGCTTTTAAGCTGGTATTGAAACCAGTGTTTGAGATGAAACTTGATTCCCTGCTTCTGTTGGTGGATGAGGTCTGTATAAGTTTTGGGTCTCTATAGCTGAGAGAGCCTGTGGCAGTGTCAGCACCTAGGGCCACAGCTGCACGGCTGGACTCTTCCCCATTTCTAGGGAGAGGCATGTTGAGCTTTTAAGGGAGGGCTTTGCCTTCCAGTGTCACAGAAGACCCCTGTAGCTCACCGCCATTTTCTTTCTGGGTTTTTGTCTCACAGATTTGAAACATGGAATCCACAAACCACAACAGAAGGCAAGAGTGAAAGAAGTAGGATTGATTTAGGTGAGAAGAAAAGTGATGGAATTCTTGCAAGGCACTAGGGGACCTGATAGCAGATGACCACTTAAAAGTCCTAGCTGCTTATGTAACTTTTAGGTAGGAACATTAAACAAAATCAGGTACTAGAAAAATATCAAGGCTATATTAGTTCACCCCTGAGTCTGTGGTCCTGACTCAGGTGAGTCCTGCCTTCCTATCCCATCACCCCAGGACAAAGGAGTTGGCTGGAATATTTGGAATGTTTCTATGGGTTAACTCCCCCCCCCCACCACCATCACCAGTAGACTTTGCATTAAAAAGATAAAATGCTTGAATTGGGATCCATTAACTGTCCCATCTTATTCAAAATAGAGACAAATGCAAACAAAGATGGAGCAAATTCCTTAATTTTGTTCTATACATCTGACCCTCCATTAAACCAAACAAGAGCTTGGTTTTTCTGCTCCATTTTTTACAACCTGTCCCAATAAAAATGTCAAGTGCAAAAAACAAGGGCACCTCAAATTAATTAAACTCATTGTATCGTCATCCAATGTCTTTGTTTCTCAAGACTATCTCCTAGGAAAAGCCCTGAAGATATCCACCATACTTATTGATAGCAATTCACCACACTAAATTGAGGAGGAGAAAATTAACGCTGCCCCTCAGCCTGTACTGAGAATGACTGACAGGAGGATTCAGGCCCAGTGGCTTTTTCGTCTCTCTGTTGAATTGACTGGACAGGGTCTTTTCATCCTCATGTAATAATAAAAGAAGTATTTCCTGTGGAGGTTGAGACTTACAGGAGATCACCCTTCCTTGCTAAGATCCTTGCTCAAAAGAAAGGTCAGGAAAGCTGCATATGGACACATTCTAAACTCTCTTGCCTATGCCCTAGTGGAGACCTGGCTTAATGAGACTGATAAACTCTGCCTTACCCTTTAGGACACTTAGAGGAACACCCCCCAGGGTGATCAGCCTATCAGGACAGGCACTCGCTGTGTGGCTATTATTCCTAATACTTCTGAATTACTATAGGCAATGCAAATGCAGAAATCTATTCAACAACAGAAGAGACATTAGGATGGAGCAGGTCACCACTTCTAGAATATAGTTATATGTCAAAGATTACTAACGGGTTATGTTTATCCAAATTATTAGTAAAGTGTTTGTGTGTGGATGTGTGGGTGTGTGCCACATGTTCACCTCTGTGTGCTGGGGATTGAACTCAGGGCCTCCAACATTCTAAGAATCTATTCTACTGCAGCCACACCCCCAGCCCAGTGATAAAATGTCTACCCACACACTCAGATGACCCATCTCTGTCATACAGTTATCTCTGATGTTTCCATTTGGGCTGTCAATGCAGAGTGAAAAAGAAAATTGGTTGTAAAATGTTGACAGCATTCAAGAAGGACATCACATTTTGACAGAAATTCAAACAGCAGATAGATGTATTTTGTTTGTTCATAGTGGGAAAAAATATTTGATGTATAAATGTGCATTGTATTAAAAAATCTAAGAATGACATATAAGCATTTTAATTGCTTGCCTGAGTCATCAGGATAACATAGTAGGAAGTGCTTGAGCTTTGATGAACTTACATTTTCTACTCACATGCATTTCATCTCAATCTTAGCCTAATTTCCTTCTTGTGTCTCAGCCTCCTATTTGGACACATTGGTATTGTCCATGCAGACCATGGTGGATTGAATAATGACTCCCAGAGATATCCAGGTCCTGATCCCCAGAATTTGTGACTACATTACCTCAAACAGAAAAAGGGACCTTCCAGATTGTGATTAAATTAAGGACCTTAAAATGGGAGATTATCCTGGATTATCTGGATGGCCCAATTTAATCCTCACAGTATTGTAAATTAAAAAGAGAAGCAACCAGTTCAGAAGGTGGAGAGATTCGACAGCAGAAGAGACTTTAGGATGGGAGCAGATGCTGCTTTTCAAGATGGCGCTAAGGATCAAGGACAGCCACAGAACTGGGGAAGGCAAGAGTAGGCCACCTGCACACAACTTGATTTGAGCCCCTGAGACCTAATGCAGATTTATGACTCTAAGAATTGCAAATTAATATATTTGCATTATTTAAAGTCATAGTCATACAATAATGGAAGAAATGAATACATAATACATAATCCAATAACATTATCATCATACAATATTAAGGGATCAATGGGGCAATACATACAAAAGCTTATTTATTGCCCATCCTTCTTACACTCAATATAATCAGTGTTATTATTTGTCTTAAAATTATTTGCAACTTGATCAAAGTTCTAAGAGTTCTGATCAATAACAGAACTTACTTTACTTAATATGTTACTGATTCATTGCTGTCAATCCATAAAACAATATTTGAGATGGTGTTGAAATGATCTTTTAACATAGGCTGTAAAGATCTACCCTTGTAGAATCTAGAATCTAAAACTAGTAAATTAACATAAAAAAAGATGATTTCTAAGTTCCCCAAAATTGGACTACTTAAAATATGCAATAGGGGCAGATAAAATGATCTAATAAATCTACCTGTATATTTATTTTAAAAGACTCCAATGAGAATAAAGTGTTTCATTGTTGCATTTTCATGACTTGGACCTTAAAAGTCCCCCAAAAGCCCATGTGTTGAAGGTTTGGTCCTAACGGGCCACTAATAACTGAAAAGTAAAAGGACCTTTAAGAGGCGGGGCCTGGTGGTAGGAAGTGAGGTCACAAGGGGTGTGTCTTAGGCAGATGATATTGAGGCCAGTCTCTTCCTGCCTCTCCTCTGGGTTTCCGGGTCACCAGGAGGTCAGGGGCTGTTTCCGGAAGGAGCAGCTGCAGATCCTTGCTGGCGAAGATTTGTGTGGGTTTCCTGGCGGATCCTGGGGTTCCCGGGGCTCCGAGGCCGTGGGTCCTCCGCCGTGGTGTTCGCTGGTCGACTCCATATTCAGTAGTAAGTACCTTTCCTCTCAGGTGTTGTTTTAGGAAAGAAAACAGCTGGAGTTAATCCACCATTTATAAAGCAGCTCTAGAATAAGATGTAGGCACACGTGTGGTGAGTTTGAGCCCTTAGAACACCCAGATGTGGGATTAAAAACAGCCGTCCAACGTCCGATTTAAGAGTTTTTTTTAGTTCAATATTTTGATATACATTAAAATGAATTTAGTATATTTTAATATCCAGTTTCAATAAGCAGAGTTTGTTTTTTTTTTTAAGAATACATTAAGTATTGAGATTTCATATTCTGAGGTTCACAGTTAGCCTAAAGAACCTTTTCACTCCAGGCCGTTGGGAGGAAAAAGTACAAAGCAAGGAGAGTTTGCATTTTCTGTTTTCTTCCCTCTTGTCTTTCACCTTCAGGAATGAACCTTTTACCCAGGCCCTGACCCAGTCTGGTTGCTGGTGCATAGCTTTCTCTTCTTGCCTTTAAGAAATACTTTTGTCCTATTCCACAGGATTCAGTGCTCTGCTCTCCTGATGGTTCTGATTAAGGGTATTTTCTCTTCCTCCTGAGCTCTAGCCAGCATACCCTGTTTGAAATGGGGTTATTCGCATGCTTGGTCATCTCCCTCCGCCAGCAGCCATGCAAAAGGCACCATGCAAAAGTCTTTAATGTTTGTACACAGAGAAAGGATCAGAAGTCACCTGAAAAAAAGATAAAATTTAGTGGGATAAAGTGAGCTACAATGTAAAAGTGAGAAATTCCCATTTGGTTGTCATAGCTGCACAGCCCTGCTGGGTTTCCACACAAGAGGAGTGGAGACTATGGCCAACATTTCATGGTAAATACACCATTCTATGTAATTCAGTGGATGTTATTTTATCCTACAGAACAGCTCCAACTGCCTGAGACATCACAGATATCAGATTAATTTTTCTCCATGTTACCACCATTCCTGTTATTGTTACTATTTCTCTCGAAGTTAAAGCAGAATAATTCCAAGAGATCAACACATCATTTTGTCTTTGTTGAATCACATCTTTAAATATATTTTGGGTTTTCCTTTTTTGTGTTTGTGTGGTTTTGTTAGTTTATTTTTAGCATTAATATGGCTTAGGAGAAAAACATAAAGGCATCTCAGACTATTTTCAAAGAACTAACGTAATTACGTAAAATTAATTTTAAATGGGGAAGTAAGGATGAGAGGAGGGATGTTTTATAGAGGTGTGTTGGTGAAGTGACCTTTGTCTCTAGCTGAAATGAAAAGAAATTTCTTTATGCAGAATTTGAATTTTAGCTGCATTCTTCTTTGCTCTCTTCTTAATTTTGTTTAGTTCATCTTGAAAATTAAATTTTACCAATGGAACATTGATATAGATGGTTTGTAAGAGTTCTAACTAGAAAAAGTTTGACATAGTTTCAGTGTATGACTGGCATAAGACAACCCTGTGGAAGTCTTGAGTTCATGCTAGGAGGAAACCAAGGGGCACTGAACATGACAGAGGAGGGCTGTCTGCAGTTCCTGAAACAGTTCCTCTCAGCCATGTGGTTGGCAACATGGTAACTCATGACAAAAACAAAAATAACCTAGTACAACTCCAAAATAATCAACCTGAACAAAATAAATTTCAAATCCCTGAAAATGTTCAAAGTCATACTGTTGTTAATAAACTAAAAATATAGTTGCTCTTTCCTTGAAAATTATTGTGCTTTTTGCCACACTCTGAATTTATACACTATCACATCTTGCAGGAGAGGTGAGAGATTTGGCCAATGCCGTCTACTTAATTAATCAATTGAGAAAGAAAGAGCAAAGTACAGTCCCTTCCTCAAATCATTGGCACAACTCAAGCAAACCATAAATCCCAAGATATGGAGCATGCTTTACGTGCGTTCCTACAAGCTAAATGTACCTTGTTAGATGAAGCCAGTTGTTTACATGCATTACAGCCTATTCTCTTATTTACATGCATATTTTCAAACTTTGTATTTTAAGATAATTAGAGACTTATGTCATATTTTACATGAATTTTTTAAAGAAATATGTAGAATTTTAAAAGTTTTTTTTTTTTTTTTAAAGAAACTTTCTAGGGTTTCCTCATCATTCATGTTGTTGGAATCAAAGAATATTTTTTTCCAGAATCCTATATAGAGATAGAATCTTATTAGGAAGGATGATAAGACACTTAACAAATAAAATATACTCCCAACCCACATATAATAATACTTCCTTATTAATTTCCTTATAACTAAAGAATTAAGAGTATGTACATCTCATAGGTCATTGTGTTTAGAACTAGAGTTATCATAAAATATTTATAATAAAATAATAGTCATGGATATGCCTTCGATGTTCTGTTTATTTGATGAAATGACATATACTTATATCCTTTAAAAGTTTCATGCCCAAACACAGCAATTTCTGGAACACTCAGATTCTTATATTGTCTAAATTTTTGTAGAGTAGCACACAACAGGTGCTAAAGAAGCCATACAGGAAATAAAAAGCAAAACTGAAAATGACTGATAAATCTGTTTCTATCACATTTTTACCAAGTACTTTACAATACAAGCATGCAGGATTTTAAATCTTTAGTGTCGCACATTCTATACTGCAGTAATACAAGATAAAGAAGGCAGAGTTTGAATCTCAGCTCTGGGACACATGGAGTGATTTAAAAGAATCATTTGACCATGGCTCTTGTTTGGCGATGGGGTTGATATTGGCATTTGCAGCAGGGTAATTCTTCTTTGTCAACTCTGCCTGAAAATTTGCAGTGTGTTTACTGTCCCTTGTTCCTGATATCAAAGGTCAATACCTTCCTCCATTTATCTTGACACCAATCCCTTCTCCTGAACTCTCACATTTTGTAATGACTTGGGTAGGAGTTAGGAATGGGTGGGGGGTATCACCTCAGTTGAGAATCTATTTTAAACCATTGTCTAACTCTTATTTCTTTATTTATAAATGAGCTATTTAGTTAAAAAATAACTTCTTTTGTTTTGAATTTCTCACATTCCCCACAGCTTATAATATAAAGTAAAATCAAGTTGATGACTCTTTTAGGGTTCTTTGTGCTGCTGTTGACATTCTCTGTTTTTATTTTCCTTGACCCACAAGTATGATCTTTATGTATGATAGATTTTGGGGGGTGTTATGGTTTGGGTATGAGGTGTTCCCCCCCACTCCTCTGAACTACACAGAAAATTTCAGAGGTAAAATGATTAGATAATGAGAGCTACAACCTCACTGGTCCCTTCTGTTGAAGTGGATTAGTAGGGTGGTAACTGTAGCAGATGGGCATGACGAGGAGGTGGTCACTGGTTGACGGGCTGGAAGGCTCACCTTCCCCACAGCCCCTTCCCCTGGGTCTTCCTCTGTTTCCTGGCTGTTGTGAGCCAAGGCACTGTCTTCTGCTGTGCTCCTTCGTGATGAGGCTCTGCCTCTCCTCCATTCAGAGCAGTGCAACTAGCTGGCCCTGAACTGAATCTCTGAAATCAGGAGCCCAACTCCTCTAAGTTGCACTGATCCAGTGTTTCGGTCGCAGCAATGAAAAGCTGACCAACACAGAGGGCACTGGGAAGGAAGGGGGTGAACAGCCAGGGCAGAGCTCACAGCAGGACAGGACAATCAGATTCTTTCTCTGCCATGTTCATTCATCAAAATCCTCCTTAATTTTCAAAGCACAATAAAAATGCTAACTCTGAACTCTTTCATTTTCTTTCTATGTGCCCCTCTTTTAGTAAACTTATACTTAGGTATTTACTGTGAAACTTGCAGACAGATTCATCACAGTGTATAGTAATCAGTCTCAACATAACAAGGCTAATTTTAATAAGAATAAATACCAAAACTTTCCTGGTGTATATAAGAAAATAACTTCATAGAATCATGTATTTATCAGCAGCATATCTTTAAAAGACTATGAAAAATTATTAAAAACTTCTATAAGATGTAGCAGTCAAAAGGAAACTAACTGTGGCTATGATTATAGGGTGTTTTAAAAAGAGAACCAGCAAAATATTCCTGAGATTTTGCTCTTCCCTCACTTGGAGTCCTGGGGCTTCTTTCTCTGCCTCAGATTCTTTGTGAGCCAATCATACAGAAGCAAAGACTGCTAAGAGCAGAATTCGGAATAAGCTGAAGCTGATCTTTGGTGGTCGCCTTTGATCTCTCTCTTTTTGATTTCGCATCCACTTTCTCTTGTGAAATTTAATTTAGTCTTATTTGAGGACATTCCCACTCGATTTGTGACTGAGCTCCACCTTTTTCAATGCAAGGCAGGCTGGGTGGAATGCATAAACATAGGTGACCTTTACCTAAAGATGAAATCGTGAGAGACGCGTGATGTTGAAAGGATTCATGTGTGCGCAGATGGCAGGTCCCAGCGTCTCCAGCCGCTGCCACCACCTCATTTCCTCCTGCCACATCGCTTTGCTTCAGCGTTCCCTCATGGTCTTCTTCAGGATGTTTCAATTGGCAGGAACATTTCCAAATGAAATCCTTACTAAGGTGAAGTAAAACGATTTTCTCCTTCAAGGTCTGAATTTAGGAACCTGTCTTTCCTCATGACAGCTGATGACATCTCCGGTGTCTAGGAACAGAAGGGAGAATCCATCTGTTGGCAGGAAGAGGAAAAAAAAAGATGTATGCAAGGTGCTGTACATTTATAATTTATTCCAAACACTCGAGACGGGAAGTGCTTGAGTTGAAGAGGTAATGCTGAATTTCTAGTGCATGTTCTCTATTATTGCAAGCAAAAGTCACATTTATAGGCAACTTAAAGGATGACACTTTGAATAGCCATTTTTCTTTTACAAAGTCAATTATATTTTTTCAAAAAAGTATATAATCCTTAACATTAAAGCTCATGACAGGTTGGAAAAATAGGTTACAGTGCATATTAAAATGATCACTGCCATTTAGTCTGTTTCCATGATCATTTTAGATTCCCTGATGCAGAAAGAAAAGCATATTGAAATGTGCCCTTTAACTTAGAATCTTAGTGTA